ATGAGTCTTTCCCTCACTGCTGGCCAATTGGACTTGCCAGCCTCTGGCACGACAAATGTGAATGCGGCAAAAAGAGGCTAACTCTGCGGCAATATACCACATCTAACAGAATCTCGCCGCTGCGATTTGCTTCGATTCTACTGTGTTGTGTGAATCCACATTTCCCTACCACATCCAATCCCTCTACAGATAGGTTGCATCCCAGGCTTTTCCCATCAGCCGATTTAAGCTATGGCAATTGGAACAATGACTTGTACCTTCAACTCTGGCCCGCATGTTGGGCGACCGCGGTTCTACCGGCTGCGAGGAGAATAACAAGGATTTAGAGAAAAACTGGGTTTCGAAGAATTACTTAATGAAATATTGTGGCGTGACTCTCTATTTCGAAGGGAAAGTTGGTTGGAAGGAATTCGAAATGTGGTCTCACCGGAAACCGAAGGAGGATTGTCGCGTAAGAAGGACTGTTGAATTGCGCGAAGAAGTCATCGGCGCACCGTCCTGCTAAGTCTTCGTCTGTACCACCGTGACAGACATCATCAGAGCAAGCTTCCATACTTTAGGAAATAGGTGGACATCATCAGAAATAGAGCAAAAATATACTAAACCAAGAGGATAAGGTGGTTGGCTGCAACCCAAGTCACTTTTTATACACTCAACATCGCAATCTTTATGAGGCCTCTTCTGATTTGGTTGGCTGCTTCAACCTTCACCGAACCTGAAATTCGTTCGGTGGCAGCTGTTTCATCACAAAAAATCTAGCGTACGAGCGCCGAATGCTGAATCATGTTTGTGCTTGGGCTATTGTCTATTGTGTGTATGTAATGCTCATGTCATGGGAAATGTGTAGTCCTAGTTAGACTTTAGACTAATCCAGCCTCTTTCTCTTACTCAATGGCTCTTCCTGCACCCACTCTCTCCTTTTCCCTAAGTCTATCCAACAGCCACAAGTCAATCACATTCGCTTTTTGAAAGTTTGCTCTACCCACAGAATTATACCTAGATCTTGTATTCTTTCTAGATCTAATTTACCTTGGATGACTAAGCCCGATCTTTTGGACATTTGCCATGATTTGGTTGATATTAAACTTAAGAAAAAAATTGCAGTTGCATTCCTTATTCAGAACTAAGACTAGACTTAGGCAAATTTTGTCCGATGCTTTTAGTTCGAAAGATTTCTTGAAACTCCAAAGTATATCGGATAGTTGACATGACAAGATTTTTCAACAGGTTAAGAAGAGACACGATGAGAAATCAAGAAATTCGGTTATAAGAATTAGCTCAAGGAAACGACCCACAAGTAATGAATTGAACTTTAAGGTTAGCCGTTGCCAAAAAGTGATAAATCTGTCTAAAATTTCATTGGACATTTCTACCGAGGAGCTTCTAGCAAAGGGCTTAAGCTTTACTTTTCAAATTATAAGGACTTCAAAGAAGACATTTTTGTAGAATTTATAAGTTTAACGGATAATTTATCAGAGGATACTAGGATTGACATTGAATTGCAAGTTGTCCCTTTAATTGATGACCATGTAGAAACACAATTTAGGCATAGGACAGTTAATTCAATTATAAGAAAGCTTAAGGAGAACGAGCAACTTGTATTAAGAGCAGACAAATGAGGAGCAGTAGTAGTTATGGTTAAGACGGATTATGTAGAGAAATTGTTATGGGCATTAGATGCTGATAAACATATAAGACTATAATTAAGGGCCCGACAGAAGGCTTTAAGGTCAGACTTAATGTTCTTCTGCAAGAATTTGTAAAGAGTGGAGAACTGGAAAAGTGGAAAATGAATGCACTTCTCCAGCAAAATGCTAGATCCCCAGACGTGTATTGTCAGCCCAAAAGTCATATTCAAGTTACTCCACTTAGGATTATTATAAACATTATGGGTAGTGTGATGCATCAAATATAACGAATTGCAGGTACTCAGTTAGAGCAAGGCTGTGAAACTTAGAAGTCTTCATTAATGAACTCCTACGACTTTATTAAGTTAATTGATCATAAGACTATAGATTTAGGAGATTTGCAGTTAAATTTTGATTTAGTGTCTATGTACACGAACATTCCGATAAACAAGGCAATAAAGGCGTCAAAATTAATTCTAGATCAACAGCCTGAAATCATAGCAGTTACAATCATTAGTTTAGTCAATTTGGCAATTTATAATACATATTTTACCTTCACTGATAAGTTGTTTTGGCAGACACGGGATTTGTCTATGGGATCTTGTTTAGCCCCTATTTTAGCTAATAACTGCATGAACCAATTAGAAATTCGTGTCTTTCAAGATACATTCCTAGTTCCCAATTTATTAGTTCGGTATATGGACGATTACTTTGCTATTTGGCAACACGGTAAGGATAGTTTGGGGGAATTCCTTGAGCTAGT